TTGGACATGTATGAATGCCCCCACACCAGAGGGAGACTGGCAAGCTGGAGTGTGTCCAATGGAAGAACACAGAACTAGGAGCAGGAGCTCATGATGTACAAGGCACACAGACTGCCCAGAAGCTGTGAAACCTCCAGCCTTGAGGATCATAGAATCATAGAATCAACTAGGTTGGAAAAGACCTTTAAGATCATCGAGCCCAACTGTCAGTCCAGGACTGTCAAGCCCACCACTAAACCGTGTCACTAAGGGCAAACTGATCTCCTCTCAAGATCTCCCCTCATGGCTGCCCTTCATGGCTGCCCCTCACAATCTCCACTCACAGCCACCCCCCATCTGCCCCCTCATAGTGGCCTCACACAATATAGCTGCTGCCCCTACCCCTCATGGACATGCTTCATCTCCCAGGAAGATCTCTGCTCATGGCCAACCCTCACAGCCCATGGCTGCCCCTGCTCTCACCTCATGATCTCCCCTCACAGCCACCCCACTTCTCCCTTCATGATCTCCCCTCATGGCTGCCCCTGCTCTCCTGTCATGATCTCTCCTCATCCCTCATGGCTGCCCTTCATATCTGCTCAGGACCTCTCCTCACAACTGCCCCTCCTGTCCTCTCATGATCTCCCCTCATGGCCACCCCTTCTCTCCCCTTATGATCTCAAACCTTGATGAGGCAAGTCCATGTACAACCTCCCTGACTGGAATTAGCCTTACTTTAAGGAGGAGATTGGTCCAGAGGCTTCCAGAGGTCCCTTCCAACTTTGCTTCTCTGTAATTTGCAGTCCCCAGTAATTTAACCACCACCACACACCACCAACAACAACACCACAACCACCCCAAACAAAACTTCTGCTGGCTTTTGTAGCATCACCTTGCTTGAGAGTTAGAATTATGTTTCCCAACCTCTCCTTTCCCCCCATTTTTTTTTACCATGCCTTTTCCTTTCCCTTTCACTAAAGTTTTCCAAAATGGCAAATCAGATTGGAGTTACAAATCTCATTAACCATACAACTAAGAGCCAGGCTGTGAGAGCTTAAAGACGAGTCATTGTTGTAAAGGACTGTGTGTATCAAGTATGCCCAAACACTGGCCAAGGAGGAGCCAAGTGCAAAGCTTTTCCCTGGGTTGGGTGGAGCTGCCTGCATTGTGGAAGAACTGGATTCTGGGCTGCAGGTTGTACAGAAATAAAGCAGTGCTGTGCCAGGCGCACCAGGTGGGACAGCAGATCTCAAGACTGACAAAGTGGCACTAGCTTCTCTTGTCTGAGCCAGTGACTCACACCTGCTCTGTGGCCAGGCTGCACTTGTGGCCAAACGTGCACTCATCAGACATAGAGCCCAAAGTGGAGGAGGTGCACAGAACTGCAGGAGGGGTGGTATGCCGTGGTACATAGGATTTGGCTGTTGAATCACAGAATAGTTGATGCTGGAAGGGAGCTGTGGAGGGCATCTGGTCCGATCACCTGCTCAAACAAGGCCACTTATAGACAGTTGCCCATACGGCTTTTGAATATATTCAAGGGGGGATACTCCAAAGTCTCTCTGAGCAATTTGTGCCAGTGCTTGATCACCCTCACAGAGAAGAAGTGTTGCCTGGTATTCAGAGGGAGCCTTCTGTGTTTCAGTTTGTGCCCACTGCCTCTGCACCACTGAAGAGAGCCTGGCTGCATCCTCTTTGCACCCTCCTTTCAGGTGTTTATAGACACTGATAATATCCCCCTGAGCCTTCTCTTCTCCAGGCAGAACAGTCCCAGCTCTCCCAGCCCTTCTTCTTAGGACAGATGATCCAGTTCCTTCATCATCTCCACGGCCCTTTGCTGGACTCTCTTGAGCACTTCCATGTCTCTCTTGTACTTTGGAGTCCAGAACTGGACACAGCACTCCACGTGTGGCCTCCCCTGAATAAAGGGGAAGGATCACTTCCCTTGACCTGCTGGCAATCCCTTGTCTGATGCAGCCCAGGATACCATTTGCTGCTTGAAGGGTACAAGGTCCTTTCTTGCCAAGCTGCTTTCCAGCTGGGTGGCCCCCAGCATATATTGGTGCATGGGGTTGTTCTTTACCAGGTGCAGGAGTCTGCACTTCCCTTGCCGAATGAAGTTCCTGTCAGCCAGTTTCTCCAGCCTGTCTAGGTCCCTCTGGATGGCAGCACAGCTCTCTGTTTTGTGTCACTCTTCCCAGTTTCATGCCATGCAAACTTGCTGAGGGTACCCTCTGCCCCATCATCCAGATCATTGATGAAGATGTTGAATAGGACTGGACCTGGTATTGACCCCTGGGGTACACTGTTAGTTACAGGACTCCAACTAGAATTTGTACCACTGATCACTACCCTCTGGGCCCAGCTATACAGCCAGTTTTCTCTGCTCATCAAGCCTATACTTCGTCATCTTCTCTATGAGTATCGTATGGGAAACAGTGTCAAAAGCCACACCAAATCACAGTAGACAATACCTCTTGCTGTCTTCCCATCTACCAAGCCAGGCATTTCATTATAGATTATCAGGTTGATCAAGCATGACTTCCCTTTGTGATCCTGGTTGTGACTGAAGGGCTGAGATGGGTGAGTGCCAGGCCTGTTCTCCTGGTCTGGGGCACTGTAGGAAGTGCAGCAGCCCTGCATGGGGTTAGGATGCCTCTTGGGTACATGGGGATTTTGATGTGCAACCCATAATCTGATGTAATTTGTTTGTTTATAAGATGATGGACCCCTTGAAGATAAGCTTTTAAGTTATGCTTCTGAATGTGAGCTTTAAAACGAGCTGCACACCTGTGCAAGAAACAAGGTGTTTCTTGTTGGGTTCATATGGTTATTCTGAGCGGCCGCATGCCTAGCTGACTGTTCCTAATCTGGAGCCATAGCACACTGTCAAATTTTAGTAAGACCTCCTGCCTGGATCAGTGGGGAATTTTACCTGAAAATCAGTGTCAGGAAAGGACGTGCATTTTAATCTTGCTGATTAAATGCTTTGACTAAAGTGCTTAGTGTGGTAATGCCATTTAAAAACTGCCATTCATTAATAAATGGCTTGATGAAGAAAACTTCTATTTAATATTTGGATTTGATCTGCAAGCAACATAGTGATTAGTGAGTAGATAGTTGAGATTTTGCATTTGATTTTGAAAAGCAGAACAAACACACAGTATTTGAAAGTAAATACACTTTATTCAATACAAATCCAAGCATTAAGATTAACAGTAACGACTGACTTGGATTTCCCCATCTTGACTTTTAAAGTTGATGGGGAGGTGCTCCCACCTTTTTGTGTTTAAAAATCAAGCTGTGTAGTTTGGCAGATTTTGTAAAACACTTTCAGTTAAGATGCAGCTCATGTTTATTTGTTAATGAATTTTGAAATGTACTTATTCAGATTTGAGATGAGTCATTACTTAAAAAAACAAAACACCGCCCCTTTGGCAGCCGGGGCACTGCTCGTGACAAGGTGCTCTCTGGCGTACCTGCATCCCACCAAGCAGAGTCTGTATGCGTGATGCACAGCTAAAGCACTGGCTTAAATTCGCTCAGAATCTTTAGCTGTAGAAGTAGCACAGGAGCAGGCTGGCACAGGAGAAAAGCCGTTGCACCTTGTTTGCATCTCAGCCATGTAGATAGATTTTGGTGCTTGGGGGGAAGGTTGGGGGGGTGGTGGTGGTATCTCTGGTAAATGGCAGAGAAGGAAGGGGAGCATGGCACGTGATTGGAAGCAAGAGTAGACAAGGCCCAAGACCCCCAAGCACGAGAACGTAAGGGGGACGTGAACCTGCTAGAACAAGTCGACAGAAGGGCCATGAAGATGATGAGGACTGGAACACTTCTATGGAGACAAGCTGAGAGACCTGGGCTTTTTCAGCCTGGAGAAAAGGCGGCTCTGGGGAGACCTTATAGCAATCCCCTTTCTGGTGCCTAAAGGGGGCGTACAAGGAATTTGGAGAGAGGTTTTTTTACAAGGGCATGTAGTGACAAGACAAGGGGAATGGCTTTAAACTGAAAGAAGTGAGATTTAGATTAGATGTAAAGGAAGAAATTTTTTACTGTGATGGTGTTGAGGCACTGGCAGAGGTTGCCCAGAGAAGCTGTGGCTGCCCCATCCCTGGCAGTGTTCAAAGCTGGGTTGGGCAGGGCTTTGAGCAACCTGGTCTAGTGGAAGGTGTCTCTGCCCCTGACAGGGGGTTGGAATTAGGTGATCTTACGGTCCCTTCCAACCCAAACCATTCTGTGATTTGAAAAGTCTGGTGCCACCAGTGCTGGGCAATGGCTCCTTCCAAATGTCTGGTGGTGAACATGAAGGAGAGACAGGAAAGCACAGCAGTGCTCCAAGGGACTTCGACGGGGTCAGAAGCCATGAGAAGAAGGTGGCTGACCGCACCTTCCACATGAGAGGCACCTTCCTCTCACGGCTCCCGACCCCCTCGAAGTCAAACCGACTTCTGAGGCAGTCAGGCAGGCACCTTCCTCACGGCTCCCGATCCCCTCGCACCGGTCGGGACCCTTCTTCCGCGGGGGGTGCGGTGACGTGGGGGGGTGGGGGTGCCGGGGGCCGTGACAGGCCGGGTCCTCACCTCCCGCCCTCAGGGGCTGTTAAACGTCCAAGTCAACCTCTCCCCGCCCGCAGCCAATCCCGCTCGCCGCCGCCGCCGCTGCGCGCCAACTTCTCCTGTGCTCCCCCACCCCGGATTGGCCGGTCTGCCGCGCGCGGCGGGCGCTCCGCACGCCCCATTGGCCACTCTCATTGCGGGCTCGGCTCTCAGGGGTTGTGCGTGCGTGCGCGTGTGTGTGTGTGCGTGTGTGTGTGTGCGTGTGTGTGTGTGCGTGTGTGCGTGTGTGTGTGTGCGTGCGTGCGTGTGTGTGTGCGTGTTGTGTGTGCGCTTGTGTGCGTGCGCGTGTGTGTGTGAGGGGTGGTGGTGTGTGGGGGTGTGTGTGTGTGTGTGTGTGTTGGGGGTGTTCGGGCCCCCGGGGAGCGGCCCCACCCCTCCCGCCTGGGAGCCGCGTGGGCCATTGTCACACAACATTCCAACTCCGAACGCCCCGCTGCTGGCCGCCGCCGCCGCCTATTGGCTCGCCCCGTTCTGATTGACAAGCTTGGCAGCTAATGGCCGCTGGTTTCCAAGGAGGCCGGTGGCACCGCCCCTCGCAGCGCCGGCAGTAACAATATGGCAGCGGCGCCTATTGGTGGCGGCGTGTTCTGAGCGGCGGTGGCCGCAGGCGCCCGGCGGCGGCGACAGGGAGCAGCTCCCTGGGCGGACGGCGGCTCCCGGTGCCGAGCGCAGCCGCGGCAGGTGAGTGGCCGGCGGATCGTGTCCCAGTCCCCCTCCACGCGGCATCACCTCTCATATCGGTGCACCTTGGCGGAGCAGTCCTCGCTGGGGCCGTAGCGCGGCATCGCGGCCCGGCTGCGGGCAGCCCCTTCGCCGCCACCGCCGTCCGCACCGGGGGACCCGGACAGGGTGTGGGGGGGCGCGGCCGAGCCGCTCCGCTGCGGGCGGGTGTGTGGGCACCCGGCCCGCTGAGGCCCGCTTTATTGTTTGCTGTGTGGGCCGCCGGCGCTGATCCCCCCGCCGGTGCGGTGGTGGCCCCGCCGGGATGCCCGGGGCTTCGCCGGGGTCTCGTCTCCAGAACCGTCGGCCCTGCTGTAGCCTGCCTCCCTCCTGCGGCCAGAATGTCACCGCCGCCCCCGGGGGGCTGCGCGGGGTCCGTGCGGCCGCTGTGGTCGTCGCTTCCCCCCTATCCCCAGGAGAGCCCCGCAGCCACCGGGTCCGTTCTCCGCCGGGTGCTGCTGCTGCTGCGGTAGGGGAGCCGTACCGGCCACGGCGCGGGCCGCAGCCGGGATGTCATGAAGGACCACGTACTCAATGAGCGTGTAGCGGGTAAGGGGGTGTGTTTCGGCCCGAGGGTCTCTGAAGGCACGGCACCGCCGACCCGTGCTGCCCGTGCTGAAGTTGGGGACTCCCGAGCGATACACGCAGTCAGCTTGACGGGAACGCTGGCACAAATGCGGTCTTAGGAACGGGTGCGTAATTCCAGCTTGTATCTCAGTACTACCACGTTTGTTGGGAACCACTGGGAGAAATTGACTTTACGTTCAGTGTCGGTTCTTCGTTCTCACTTCCCCCCTCCGCAGCAGCCGGGGGACTCTGGGCTAGTGAAAGCTGGCTGGAGCTGGGACATAGGTAGCACTCATGACTTGTCAATCATTTTGCTATATATGAAATTCTGATTAAAAGATATACTGGAATAAATTAGGGGAGGCTGAAATCTATGGAGTGATTTCTTGGGCACCAAATCTGTGATTAGATCATCTTTTCCCCTTCCTGTATTATTAAAAAGCTTCTGTCAATTTCAATGACACTTCAATGCAGTGCTAAAAAATATTGAACAAGGGCAAATGAGACATCCTTCCCTTTGGCTGTACGGGCCAGATCCCACAGAAAGCAACTTCCACCCCTCCTCATTCGGCAGCTGTTGGCGCCCCTCTGCTGAATCCTTGCTTCTGTCCCTGTTCAATCTACGGCTGCCTTTCCCGTGGCAAAAGCTGCCTTCTTCAGGCAGAGTTTGCTTACCTGGTTGCATGTAACGGTTGTCCTTGCTGTTTCCCAGTGATCCCACATGGATGGGACAGTCCCGTGGGATTGTAAAGGTGTGAGTGTCCTTGGAAAGCGCCGTGGTTTTCTGTCAGCTTTTGCCTTATTTGCCCTTGTGTGCCACGAGATTTCTGATTTGGGGACTCGTTGTGCAGAGGTCCTTGGAAGAGTCTGAAAACATGATCATCACCCCGTGGTAGTTACTGTGTATATTTGGTAGTAGCAATGAACATGCTACACTTAGCACTTCCATACTAGTTGAGGTAAAACATGATTTGGGAGTGGGTGAAGAATGAGACTGTTTCTTCCCTTCTAGACTCTGGAATGGTGGAGGTGGAAGAGGAATGTGACATACCCTTGGGGACTTGACTCACCTCTACTTTGATTACAGGCAGATTAGTCCTGCTCCCGCTTAGACTGTGGGAACGCTTGCTGCCCCAGTATCATGCTTCCTATAGATGAAAAAGCTGTCTCCTTCTTGAACAGCACAGCAACTCCAAAATGACATTGTTTTTTAGTGGGATTCTCCCAACAGGAGTTCAATCTGTAGCCTTTTGTTACTGTTATTCTTGTATTAATTATGCTTTCCAGTATATAAAAGGCAATATTCTTGTGTACTTAAACACTTGTCATCTTTAATGATAACTGATTCTAAGATCTGGCCCTTAGTAATCTCATGCAGTGCTGACTGTAATTTGCCTTAAGGGAAACAAGATAATACTACTGTTTTAAATTGCCTTTTTGGTGTTTCTGGTTGCTCTTGACTGGAATAAAATTCAGTGAATCCTACCTGATGTCTGCAGTGATTCATCTGGTCTTGCTTGGAAGAGGAAAGACAGTGGTGGGGTGTTGTTTTGTTGTGGTTTTTTTTTTCATGTCAGAGGTGATTATACCATGTAGTCATTCAGTGGTTAGGAACATCAGAAAACCCTTGTGAGGCATCATTTGAAAGGATCACTGTACATAACAGGAGGAAAAACCATGTTTGCCTGGTATCAGAGCTCTGTTTCTCAGACAAAGTTCTCGTACTGTAGTGAGGAGCATGGTATAAATAGCAATGCTGGGGTATAGCCACTGAATTCAAAGTTATGGTTTCCACAGCAACCAGCACTCAGGCTGTCATTTATGTATGTAATATTTCTGTCTTTTTAAAATAAAAATATAAAAATATCTGGCTTCTGGTGTTGTGCTGTGTCCAATCCTCCTCCACGAACACCCCACACTCATTCCTTCTACTCTGGATCATCTCCCCCCTGCTTTCCTTCTCCTAGTGGCTGTCCTCTTGCTCTGTTCCAAGCTCCAGCCTTCCTGCTGCCTTCTCCTGGGCCAACAGCTCAGAGCTCTGTGTACCAGATGCCATCCTGTCCACCATGTTAATTTGTCTAAGTCCTCCTTTTGGTTATCCGTGTTTGCTTTCAGCTGTGCCTGTGGTGTAACAGGCACCATGCAAACACAGAAAGAAACAGCCCTGGTTTGAATCAATGGCATATCCCTCAAATACCCACCTGCGTTTACCACATACGTCTCTCTTATCTGCAGGGTCGTTGTCTCAATGGTGTGTCCATATGCTCTCCTGGCTCTTGCTCACTCATTTCTCTTGAGGCTGAAAGGAAATACAGATGGAGAATGCTGCGTGTGGAGGGTTGTGGGATATGCCCTTCCTATATGAGGATCAGGATGCAGTGCTTGTTTTTAAAAATGTTTGTTACATGGATGTGCAGTGTTGCTAAAGTGTTTTCATTTATAGCCAGGGGCTTGATGTATCTACATGGTTGTGTCCAAGTTACAGTTTCCAGAGCAACTGGAGCTTTGTATCTTGGAAGACTGTTAGCTAAAGCACGGAACATCACATCAAATTTTCCTGTCTTAAATTCTGTAGTTTTAGCTATTGTTAAAAATGCAGCTGTGCTTATCTGAGAAGATGTTTCAAAACCTTAAATGACCAAGCAGATCATCTTTAGGTATGTACCTCTGCAATGAGAACAACAATGGGAAATTTCAGCCTCCAAAGTAATTATCCTTAGAGTTACATTTAAGGCACTTTTGGAGAAATAATCAAACGGAAGTGCTGTCTCATCTGTATCTCTAACCAGAACTAATGACAAAAGCGCGGTCTGGCAAAACTGAGTCAAAAGGCTAATGTCAGCTGAAAGCAAACGTCAAATGAAGGATTCCCATGGCTGGAGAATTGATTCTAAAAAGGAAGGGGTCTCAGCATCCCCTCTACCTGGGAGCGATTGAGCAGGCTGTGGTACTGGAGGCTGGTCTGATACTTTTATTTTTGTTTTCCTTCTTTTCCCCTCCCATTTGGCTGCTGCTCCTTATGGTCCCTCTTGCAGTGTTTCACAGATACTTTTTCTCTGAGCAGTAACATCAAGGACCTTTGGTGTCAAAGCAGGGCACTTTCTCACTGTAACCCCATTTGAGCCAATGTTACTTTCAAAAATGTTGATGTACCTGCGTTGTAGGGTTTCTCCTTGTGCTGTGAAGAATGTTGTCAATATTGGGCATGTCATTCTCTTATGAATTGCTCTACTAGATACTCAGATTGGTTTGAGCAATGATACTATAAAGTGGTTTGTAGGTTAGCTGGGGAATCTGAGCCAGGAGGCTTTAAGTGTTGGCTTGTGTAAAAAGGAATTGCAAAGAGAATGTCTCGGGGGTCTTTCTTTCTATTTTTGTTAGTAACCTTCCAGCTCAGTGTTTTTCTTCTTATATTTTTTATATAGATATATATGTATAATGCTCCATTGATGTTGCCGCCTATAATAGCATTATCAGCAGCCTATGGTTTTTGCTTAATAAAATAGAGGAATGATTCCTCTCTTACGAATGGTTTTTAAATGAAATGTAAACCCAAACCTTGTGATCTTTGGTGTGCTGCCCAGATTATAGAAACAAAATGATTGAAACAGCAGCTGGCAATGGCTTGGAGTGAGTTGAAATACCTTGAACTTCTCCCTTGGTCTCAGAGCAAAGGTAGGGATTTTGTTTTCTCTGTAGTCAACCCAATCTTTGCGATATGGTACAGATCAAGAAGGGATTTAGCTTGTTCACACAGGAGCAGGCTGTTGCTCACCCACCTCCATGGCAGGCAATGTATGTTGCATGCTGCGTGGTGAGGCAGAGAAAGCTGGTAACAAGCTGGGAGAAGAGCCAGATTCTTTGCTGGAGTAAGACCTGCCTGTTTATTTTCCTGAGTGCTCAGAAAGTGCCACTGTGTGCCATGCTATCAACTTAGTTGGCTAAGTCTGTCTAAGTGAAGGTACAGATGTTGGAGTTCAACGTTGTGTGAATGCGTCCATCTTGGCAGCAGGACACCTAGTTTTATTTTTCTCCAGTGCACAGTATAAATACATCTCTTTCTTGACTTTCTCCATTAATTTCGGTGGATAAAGGCAAGTCTTCCGAGGGACAAGGCATTTGAAAGGTGGAATGAGATATCTAATCCATTACCATTAAAGCAGACTTACTTTAAGAATTTCATCCCCTGAAAGAGCAGGCAGTGAATAAGGGTGGTGGAAAGGTCTCGTGTTCTTAACCAGATGTCCTGGTACGTCACCACAGCCCTTCAATCCACCTGGGTGCCTACTGCTTTCGTGTTTGACCACCCGTTTCTGTGGTAACCATTGGCAGGGAGCAATCTAAAAAAGGCTGTGTACTGGAGTATTGCTCCCACTTTGTGTATTTTCCATCCA